TCAGAAATGTTGGTGGTCAACGTGAATATGGTTAATTAGAGTAAGATCAATGGCTGATTACTAGCTATTCATCAAGGCCAAGCTTAATTAAGAATAATGTTTCACGTTTTCGACCGATTGAACGCGGTTAATATAGATATATCACATGGCTAGTGAGTCCACTAATAGCTAGCGAGAAATGAGGAAAGTTGCATTTTAGTGTTTGCTGATCAATTTCTGTATCTTTTAACTTAAAGTACATTTGTTCATGTAGGTCGGTTAGTACTGTATATCAAAGAAAGCGGTTAATTGTTGATCTTTCTTGCAGAATAAATCAGTTAATGTTAATATAGTTTCAACATGTTGATTCTGTGTGGACGATATATGGACCTCCAAAGTAAATCGTACATACGAGTATTTAATCGTTTAAAGACGTGTAATGTGGAAGAAGCCGTTCTCGTACAGGATACTTGTTAACAATAAATCAGGGTAATTTTCGGCATATCTAAATTACTAAAACAAAGTCGTTTTGTACCCGAATTTTAAATTAAGTAGTACGTAGATGATCATTGTGGATTTATTATACACCGAAATGAAATGAAATGAAATGGGGTTTAACGTCCTACTGTTTTGCTCCGAACTGGGCTAATGAAGACGGGCATACGCCATACAGTGTGCTATGAGGGTAATTTTGCCCGGACAGCGGCACTACGGCCTACTCTTATATCGAATTCCAACTGTCAAGGGATTTTTTACGTGCACGCCAATGTGTACACGGGACCTCGGTTTTTCGTCTCATCCGAATGACTAGACAGCTGTCCTTGTCAGGCCCTCCGTCCTGCATCACTGACAAGGGGGAACCACGCCGGAAAATCTGGATGAACTTTCTCGGCCAATGCAGGGATCGAACACCCGACCTCCAGGCTAGCGAGCCAGCGCCTTACCCACTTAGCCACCGTGATCCCCATTATACACCGAAGTAACATCTAAATTAAAATAACATTTTCAGTCCTGATCGATACAAAACGATACTTAAACCAGACGCATATCTTCTTGTTCAGAAATGTATTTTACACTTTGTATTCGGTGCTTTACGGATGGTTAGATTGTCTCCTTTAAAAAATGACCAGTATTTTTTGTGATTCAAATTTATAATTTGAATACATTATTAAAACATGTTTAACTTATTTGTGCTTAATTGCAATCTTATCTGGAATATTTTATATTTATAATCGTATGTATGTATTTATTATTTATTATGTATTTATTATGTAATTATGTTTGAAAATCTTCAGAATTTGAGGAAATAAAGATATATATATATACATTTGTAATAAGATTAATTCTGTTTCATATTTTTTTTGTTTTAAAATAGGTACGGTGTAAGACAATGGTGTCGGCAGGTGTATCATACATCTAATAATTAAGTTGGTTAGTAAGACATCGCGTCAATATTATTAGATAGTATTACATGATTGTCCTTTAAATGAAGGCTACTAATATATGTATTATAACTTGTGAATGGCTGTTACAAACCAATAAGGTTGTTGATAACACCATGACCATTATAGGTGATCTCAGGTAGCATCATAACTCAGACAAGTTTATCTAGAGACCACAGACCGGAGACCCCTCTACAAGACAGAACGAGGGCATGGAAGCAGACGTGAATTAGGAAGATGGCTGTAATGGCCACAATATGATATCTTATGGTCCTGTGTGCTGTATTGGTTGTTAAAATAACTTTAAATGGTTGTTCCTGTATTGTTAAAATAAAAAAGTAAAATTCAAAATTCACAGTCATCGTTACCATTAGATCCTTTGATCTTATGTTACAACGCTCCTAGCATTTAGACTAGATGCTAAATTTGAACAGCTTAAGAATAAAGTACAATCTCGGGAAACAAACTGTAAAAGCCATCATATTGATAGTTACACCTTCTTTGTTTAGATCGAACGTAATAATAGAAACTAGTCCAGGCAGAATTGTCATCGTTTACGCACTTTCCGCTCCGGGTGGCTCCCTTTTACGCTGAATGTGGATTATTTTTTTAACTCTATATAATTCAAATTCCTTTATTTTTTGATTATGATTTACAGAAATTAAAAAGTTAGTGCATAGACCTCATTTAATCGCCCCGATTTCATCCCTATCAGTAATAGTCGGGGTCAAGTGAATAGTTACTGCGGACCAAATTGTAAGCTCCCATCCCGACACAACATCACATGTTAAAGTTATACAAAATTACAGCTAATGTCGTACTAGTTTAAAGTGTGAAGATGATGCCGACAATGTCCTCTCATCAGTTCCAGAGGGAATGTTTGACAATTGTTCTAAGGGGGATAATTGAACAAGAGACACGAGATATTGAAGAAGTCGTTATTGTTCTACGTCTTCTAGTTAACCACGCTACTCGTATATAATTCACATTAGAATTCTTGGAAATAACTATGGTCACGTGGCCATGTTGCTATATAATATGTTATGCTAGTGTTTTTGGTTAACCGAACGACCTTAAATGTTCTAACCGAAATCGCCGGCACTAAACTGTCTAATTTCCCAGGCCCAATAACTCAAATTGGCGGGATTTTCTCTACAAAAATTATAACACTGAAACTTCAGTATTACTTTCAACTTAGTAATTAAGGTAGAAATACTAAGAAATAAATAATACAAACCCCCCAAAAGATCACAAGATTTTCTGACAGACCGATCTTATTTTTTGGGCCAAGTAATTGCAAGCGCGAGTTTATTATTTTCCCCTTGACCTGATATCGAAGAAAATACCTTTCGTGTCACATCAATCGTCACCATAGCTGCTTGGGGATCACGGTGGCTAAGTGGGTAAGACGGTGACTCGCTAGCCTGAAGGTCTGGTGTCCGATCCCTGCATTGGCCGAGAAAGTTCATTCAGATTTTCCGGCGTGGTTCCCCCTTGTCAGTGATGCAGGACGGAGGGCCTGACAAGGACAGCTGTCTAGTCATTCGGATTGGACGAAAAACCGAGGTCCCATGTACACATTTAGGTGCACGTAAAAGATCCCTTGACAGTTGGAATTCGATATAAGAGTAGGCGGTAGTGCCGCTGTCCGGGCAAAATTTCCCTCATAGCACACTGTATGGCGTATGTCCGTCTTCAATAGCCCAGTTCGGAGCAGAACAGTAGGACGTTAAAGCCCATTTCATTTCATTTCACCATAGCTGCTTCCGGTCCCCTGTAGTGATGTAGAAAGTTATGCGCTGTGGCCGTAATTCCCCGTAAAGGAATGGGTTATCAGTCGGATTTTCCTTTCGCTTTACATGTTAGTTAAACGTGCATATTGGTAGTTAGGAAAACAGAGAGAGAGAGAGAAATGGGGTTAAACGTCCACTCGACACAAACTAGGTCATTTCGGGACTAACATATGGTTTAATTTTATTTCAATAATTCGTTTGCGCGTAGGGGTCTTTAGCAGTGGGAGGAAACCGGAGGACCCGGAGAAAACCCACGAGGTTGGACAGACGACCCTACTCCTTGTCACGTACAACCGGGGATTCGAAACCACGCCAGTCGACTCAATAACAGACTTTATGATACAGCGCGCGCACGCTAACCATTCAGCCATCCAACCCCCCAGTTAGGAAAACAACCAAGATCCTTAAATCATGGACTGCTGTGGTTAGGTATGGCGCAGATTGCGGTATTGTACAACAAAAAACCTAGGGACTTTCCAGCCTTAAGGTTTTATATTTGTATGTGATGAATAACATATCGTATGGTACATACCCATTCTTCATTAAACAAGACGGTAAAACTCATAAAAATAAATTTCTATGGTAGACCTATTTTAGTTTTCATGAGAATGCTACGAATATTGATAGGATAACACTTGACTTAAAATATTCCTGTTTTAATTAAATAAAACATCATGAGAGAGTTGAAGCTGTTAGTAGTAACGAATCCCCAGTTGAGCTTATTAATATCAACATTGACTGGGATTATTTATACAGGTTTTGTTCTTTAAAGAAATATAGATACAAAAGCAGCCCATTTAAGAATTGATAGTTAAAGATGTATTAAAGATGAGTTTTACTAGAAGGGAATCTGCCTATTGCAGGTCAAAGATCCCTTGGCAGTTGGAATTTGATATAAGAGTAGGCCATAGCGCCCGCTGTCATGGCAAAATGTCACCCATTGCCCACTGTATGGTGCATTCCCGTCTTCATTAGCCCAGTCGTACCAGAACAGTAGGACGTTAAACCCCATTTCATTCATTTTATTTCACTTTTATTGCAGGTCCCTTTCTGACTTCAAATGATACGTAAATTATTATCTGGACATTTATTCACATTGCAAGTCCATAATCAACTCCCTAGATGATCCGATGGCTTAGATATTGGCCAGCTCTTTATCTAAAACTTACATTATACACCTTTAAGCTGATTTTGCAATATCCATCACCTGACGAGGATATACATACATACATGAAAATACTTATAATGCGCAATTTCCAGAAAATTGTTCCACCGCGCATGGGAAAATTTATCAATGACACAATGATACAATGACGGGCTATTCAGGAGATCAGAGCTTTACGCCCCCCCCCCCCCGCAAAATTCCGTAATTTGGCTGGGTAACATTTTCGTTACGCCCTTTCTTTTTATACCAACAGCCTCCCGAGTTTTATCAGTTTACAAGCCGCCAATGCGCATACATTCAGCAGAAGCAAATTATCCCTGTCGAACGATCTATGACCAACCCATACCGAGCCGTACTCACCCCTGAGCTAACAATTGCTCCTTTTGATCAATGTTTTTTTTATATGAAACATATCTACGGATTTTCTATACACTATATACCCATTTGCAAGTTCTCATTTTGGACCAAGTTGAAAACATATTTTTTGGGACGAGTTGTTTATGGTTCGCCGTCTCAGCAAAGTTGATTATTCATCACAATGGAGATCCCCAAATCAGTCATGCAGAAATAAATTAACACAAACAACAAATCAACTATAATATCATTGTTTATCCAAATATCAAAACTTTTAACATAACATTGCATATTGTCTACTTAAACAGTTATTTTTGGATTTCTATGTTAAAAGGGGAAAATTCCAGTTTTCAATGTCAATGTGATATAATACAAATAGTTGATGAGAAGAAATAATTACAATCTATACATCATCGTTAAAATAGCATTTTTCAAAAAGATATATAATATAATATATATTACGTAGTTCTTTATACACAATAATAATAGACCTAACCTTTGACCATATTCACGAAAACTTTGTCTATATTAAAGTCCCATTGCGTGATTTGTATTTGTCGCTAAAATATCAATTATTAGCTTAATATACGCTAATATGTTCTCAGATTGATTATTTGACATATAATAAAGAAGACAAAATCAAAGTACCAACGTTAGGTGGCCCACTACATAATCTCCCATCCTGGAGCCCATCAATTATGTTCGCGAACAACAAAATGGTGGCGGGTTTATTACATAGCGAGCAGCATAGATCGATGAAATTTGAATCAACATATTTTGTAAATAAATTATGAACGGATTCATCTTTCCAATCATTTTCGTTTGCAAGGGATTCCTTTTGCGCCAAACTGACGCAATGAGACTTTATGTTATGATTTGAGGCGTAAGTGCTTGTTCCTTTCCTAGAAAGTAGGTACTTATATTACAATTAAATTTATATCCTGCAGTCTATACCCGGAGACAAACAGTTTCTATTAGAAAAAGACTAGCTGAATCGGATACATTCTGTTATGAATCAATATAATACGTATTCCTGTTCGGAGGTTAAGCGATGGTGGCCCATTGGCTCACGGACTCGAGCACGGCGTTGGCCGGGAGGATGCATTCTAGATTCTCCAGCCATGAAACTTTGAACTCGATAAAGAGTAAGCGGAAACGCACCTGTCTTGTGTCTTGGCAAAAATTCTCTCAAAACAAACTACATGGCGTATGCCAGTCTTTATAAGACCGGCTGGAGCACAGAGCTTGAACTTTAAACCCCATTTCATTTCATTTCCTGTTAGGAGGACAAGTTTTCGATACTTATATAAAAAGTACCATAGGCAGTACAGCTTAACTGATCAGCAACATGGAACATTTTTAAAACAATACTGTCTTTGTATATGAAAGTAGGCTTTTATAATGAGATAGTTGAGATTTCGAGAATAAGGTCAAAGGTCGTATCTTGTACGCATATGGACATAACCAGATTTAACATATAACAATGTCAATTCTAAAAAATATCTAAATAACAATTATGTGTGTTCCGAATCATTTTCGGGAAACCTGGGACATTTATGTTTATCGTATATTGCTCATTTCACAAACGTTCATTTCGCCACTTGAACGTCATTTGTAAGACCAAAATAATTTGGTTTTCTTACACGTCACAAGTCAGAAATATTCATTCATATCTACATGTATGTATATACATGTAATATATATATATACACATACCGGTAGTCATACAAAGATAGAAAACGGAAGTTTAGTATTTATGACAAAGGCAGTCATTAAAATCTATTCTTCAATTTGAATTAAAATGTCACTACTCAGAAAACTCACAACAAACCCGAACAAGTTTCCTTGAAGTGCGTACCGTAGTTATGACGTGCAAAAATGACTTCCCGCCACCTTGTCCATCAAACAAACTAACCAATCATAAACAGGCATCAGACCAGCTGATCCTTAAACATTCACGATAAATTAGCCAATGAGAATTAATTGGCAAATCATTATGTACAATCACGCACTGTCGTGTACCGCTGATTTTGAGTGAGATTCGCCTAAAAATAGAACATAATGTAAAATATAGAACAGTTCAGGTACCAACAGATTCATCGTTAAACTGTTTCATGATGTCTTGTATGATCTGATCTTGGTCTACATATTCCAGTATATGAGGAGCATCAAGCAAAATGCCCATAGTTCCTCCAAAGGTTACTGTTAAAAACACTACTAACATAAGACGATCTAACACACGGGCCATATATTTCCAATCATCTAATACCTAGAAAAGAATAGAGTATATACATTACAAACAATTTCATTAATAAAGAAGCTAAGGTATCCAACATCCACACACATCAAATGTATATAAGCATCTCCACAGTAGGTCGTGTTCTAATCTATGTCTATATTTCAAACAAAGTGTCATGATGTATATTTAATTTTAGCCCATATTTCAAACAATTTGTCAGGATTGATTCCCTACCATGACGGCACTCACTTTAACATTTTAATGCAGAAAGCTATGAAAAATGCTGGAAGAATGCTTCGGTACAAAAATTAAAATCTTAGAAAACGTGATCATGAGACAGTATTTTCCTAAATAGTGCACCCTTAGTGGTTTTATTATTATTTCAGTCGTTTTACACTGTCAACGTTGTGCATTGTGAGCAGGGCCGTTGTCTCATTCTTTCTTCGAATTGCAACTGGCAAAATAAATGTACACACAGCATCTTAGTTAGCATAAGTATTACTTCCAATTATATATTTATGTCAAATAAAAAAGAGGGAGAACAAATACCGTATCAATTTACATACCGTTTCATAATCTTCTTCAGTTCGTAAATGTTGATAAATAAAGCGAACTGCCTCTGTTGCTCTGTACAATTCGGGTGTCATTTTTATGTATTTATCTGAACTCCCTCCCTCCCCATTCGTAGATCTTTCTAATGAGTTCATTCTCGTATTAAGTCTGCAATGGGGATGATGCATTTCAGTAAGTTCCATGAGTTCTGACGACCTCATATTGAGATTCACCCGCCTCGTTTCCGGAGTGGGTTGATAAGATGGCGGCGGCGAGAAGTTCTTCTTCTGCCATCGTTCATCGTGGTCAGGTCTCTTCATTAATAAAAACATTGGCATATATTTAAGAAACACAATCCTAATCCATTGAGGCATCCGATGTGTTCTAGGAGTTCGATAGTTTCGATTAATAATGATAACAGTACTCAAAATGGCGATAATGTTCATTATAAACGTGAATAATAAATATTTTGCAATTAAAGGGATTTTCAATGATGGCGGTAAAATTTTCGAAATCAGGAGCAGGAACACAACTAACGCAAGAAGAATAGATATACAAAGAGTGATTTTTTCTCCAGCATCAGCAGGAAGCGCGAACACACAAACACTCACAAAGGATATTAACACACACGGTATGATCAGATTAACTGTATAAAACAATGTCTTCCTTCTTAGAATGAATTTAAATATTATCTGCTGTTCTATTTTGCCACTAGAAAGGTCCGTTACGTTTACAATTTCACCTGGACAATCTATGATATCCCACGTTCCACTTTTCAAATAATCCGTTAAATCCAGCTTATTGCGACCACCCTTGAAGACATACCTGAGAGAATCGCCGCGAAACGTCCATGAACCGAATTTCATGTGACAAATTTGTTGATCAAACGGAAAATACATGACATCAATTGTGCACGAACTTTGATAAATAGCTGGCGGAATCCAGTTCACTTCGCCTGAATTATATATTACACAGTTCGATTTGTAGGAAACTTCATAGTTACCATCGGCACTGAAAATAGAAAATAAAAGTAGAGTTAACACCCGTATTGGTTAATAACCTTGGGTGATGCTTATTGGAGAGGTTCGGGCATTTCCGATGATTGCCGAATCCATTCCCATAAATGAGTATTTTTTGGGGAATACCAACCCTAATTTACCTTTACCCCTCTTAAAAGGGTTAGGGTTAATACTCATTTATATAAAGCGGTCATTGTGGACCCAACTTCAGAAATTACGAGATAGCATGATCTTACGTCTATTCGAAATACTATTCATATTGGTGATTAGGGTGGGTAGGGCGTTGTGGTAAGACGTTTTTACAAAGATGGACATAATTTCTATGTTGAGCAAATCTGACGATGATTTTACCTCTTCCAAATACAAATCATATTGTTATATACAAATCATATTGATGATTGAAGGGGTGGTGGAGGGGCGGTACTGTAGTAAGACGGTTTTCCCAAAATGGAAGCATTTCTTATGCTATCTGGAATTTATATCATTTATCGAAGAAAGTACTAACAATCCCGTCTGTGTATACAGAGGAGCTTCCTTGTTCATGATGTAAGCGACTTGATTATTGTTCTTTGTTGACTTTTCAGTCATTAGTTAATATATATATATATATATATATATATATATATATATATATATGGGAATATGACTTGTTTACTCGTAAATGTAAACATTATACAATTAGACGCGATGCTCTTAACCGGTACAGCCTTTGGGATCCAGTAACAATTGAAACATTTTATTGATGGTGAAATAAACATTAAAAAAGATACTTTCTAATTAACTAGTTTTGTGAGCTATGATCGTTATAATGACTGGTGCAGAAATTGTATTTTTTAAACTCAAGTAAATAGGACGGTTGGGAAATTATTCAATACAAATCATTACTTCCTTATATAATAACTAACCATTTAAATCTAGATATTTGTCACATTGCATAGATAGGGTGAACCAAAATGGATCTTAATGTATCGTGTTTATTATAGAAGTCAAGTATTTAGAAAGTAAGATTGAATAATTATACAAAAATCTTTAAAACAGTGGCTGATAGTGTGACGGGGAAGCCTATTAGGACATTACACAAGTTAAATTGTTGAGGAATAATCAATAAGACTTTGACATATCAGTAATCAGTTTCTCGCCGACCTGTTTGATTTAAAGCTTTTTAAATAAATCCACACTGTTACAGTGAAGTTTTTTTCCTTGCCTAAAATAGGTATAGATTCGCGGACCTTTATTCAAATTGGATGCAAACTTCACAACAACCATGACGTAATAGGCCGAGATATTAATTCGCCCAGAACTAAGTTTTTGTTATGTCACTGCAATATGTTTCTATTTTCTTGGCGTGGATTTAAACGTTCACGCGCCAAAGCCATGAAGGATCAATTAATGATTTTATCTTAAAGGAGCGATGTGTTGGTATTTTTATGCCATTAAATTATTGTTCTTGTTATCTTTTAAAGAATGGTTAAATTAGAAAACTCACAAAACCCTAATTCTAAATTCTCGGCCAAAGAAAACCTCCATCCCCATGGAGACCTTTCAGCTTCTAACTGATGTTCTTGTTATTTTACAAAGAATGGTAAAATTAGATAACTCCAAAAAAGCTGACAAAAAATTGAATTTCCAATTTCTAAATTCTCAACCGAAGTAAACCCCACCTGGGAATGCGCCCTTTTGGCTTATAACTTTTAAATTCAACATTTGGGATTGTTTGTCGGATTTCTCTCGCAAATTCTGGTTATAATAAAGAAAAGGAAATGTGGTTTAACGTCCTACTTTCCTCCACTAATATCAGATTAATGAAGACGGACATACGCCATATAAAGGTAACATGAGAAGAGAGATATGATGTCTCCGGTGAATTTTAATTAAAACAACATAATAAGTTCAACTATCAGGAAAGAACCTGGTGCATTCCAGATTGCCAAGTTGGGTTGTTTTGGTATGAAATCACCGAGATGTTTTATTTTGTTTTATTTTGTGTTTTATTAGACAAACTAAAGAGACTTGACCACATTAGGTGTCATTGCCGGTTGTTAAAAAATATATTGATTTAACGGCATATTCAAATTAGATTGTATCAAAAATAAAAAAAAATTAAAATAATAATAATCCGCAAATGCATTTCTGGGATGCACACGTTTAACTTTCAAGTTTAGAGACATATATTTTTTAGTGGTTTTGAAACAACTCTAAGAACTGCATTTTTGATAATTAGGCGCGACTAAGCTTATTCATAAAAAATAGTGAGATTTATTTTAATGGTGAGCGTGATAATGCCATTATACTAGCTTGGGACCACAGTGATTCAATAAGTAAGGCGCTGGTTCACGAACCAGGAGGTCAGGACTTCGAAAAGAATCTTCAAGATTTGTCAAGTCAGGTTCTAATATACTAGCGGCGGAGACTGCTGGACTAACGCTGGGGAAAATGTGTCCAGTCGATCGGTGCCCTGTGTGCAATTTCGCAGTGCGGCAAAGTAGGCAGAATCGCAGTTGCCCCCTCCCCGCCAACCCAATTATGCTCTGCACACGTTACCTTAGATATAAAAATGACCGAAGTATTTTGTTGAAGGTTGTCTGTGATATCAATTCGGTGAAAGCGGACGTAAAATCTCCTATGTAATAACAATTAGTTGAAGAGACGTAAAACCACATTCCATTCCGAACTAAAGTTTAGTATCTGGTTGGTCTTTAAAGGATATATTTTATGGGCCATTTTTTAGCATTTATTAACCGATATTACACGTCACCTTACATTGGATTATTTAAAGTAAACAAATTAATAGCCTATACTGGAACAGGTTATAATCAATATTTAATTTTACTGAAATTGTGGACAAAGGCGTTCAATACAACCCATTTAATATTTTGTCCTCACTATCAAAAATGATGTCGAAAGATTTCCTATAACAAAATTAGTTTAGTTATTCAGCGTTTGTGCACTAAATCTAAATTGATATAGTCGGTCTGAATACAGATTTTCGATAAAATGGGATTCATATGGCTGCAATCCAGTAAATATTAAAAAATTTCTTTTCAAAATCGCGCCGCGGCAATGATTACAGAAGGTTTTTACAGGCCACAAAAACCTATAATAATTCTCCTTCAACCTCGTATAAAGGCTTTCATTCGATTGAACACTTCATGTTTGATTGGCACTTGTATTCATGTACAAAATATACAATATCCATGCAATTCATTCGTTTATTAATAAGAAACTTATCAAAATATGCCTCATTCTCCGCTTGTCACAGCATGGATGACGAATGAAGAGACGTAAATAGTCGATGAAGCCACGTTGCTCGTTTGTACCAGAATATTTAACACGTATATATAGAGAGAGAGACTAATGCTTACTTATTAAATAATACTATATCTGGCGTCCATAAAGACTCGGGTCGGATTCGAATTGTACGTTTATTTCCGTAATCTTCTGGTTTCCATTTCAACTGGTAGTCGTTCCAGTACTGTAAAATATATAAAACAAGATGAGAATAAACAAAATAATGGAGTAGGATCAGCAAAAACTAATGTTTCATGGTCCAGCACACACTAGCGGCTATGTGCTGAATATAATGCCTAAGCTAAATACCACATCCAGTACATCAAACCCACATAATCTACATGAGAACCAGTATCAGGTGTTCTAGAAGCAGTAAGGGCGACATTGCGACAACCGTCGAGATTTTAGTGGGTGACAGAAGGGCCTATCTGCCCACGAGATAGACTCTTGTGTGCCGTGACCAGTACACGCTACAGATAACGGCAAGAGAAAACCTTGTAGGCAATAATGTACCTGCGATATTAAAAATCATCGCCCCAATAACGACGTTTCCTTAAGAGCTCGCGTGCATGATTAAATATATTTCTCAGTCCTTTATAATTTGTTTGGGATATATTTTTTATTGATCTGTTTAGCTAACCGTCAATAAATACTAGCCACCGTGTGTACAGGCCTTATACGATATAATCTATCGTGTGTACAGGGCTTATACCACATTAGGTAATTTATATTATTTCTGTCTTCGTGTTGTTGGCTTAGACGCAGACATCAATCTGCCATTTATGTCTCCTTGTTTATAAACAGGAATGAAATAACAGAAAATTGAATATAAATAAATACAGATGATATTAAAGGAAGAAGATGTCTCCACGCAATAATAAAAATGGATATCCTTAATACTATCGCTAAACGGGTCTTCGATTTAGACAGGAACAAATGAATCGTGCGCTTCATATCTAATCCTTCATCAGTTATGTTTTTTTTTATTCAAGACCGGTTGGGGCAGAAAAGTAAGAAGATCAACCTCATTTCATTTCATTCATTCAAGCAAATTGATCGTTATAATGTTGTTATCATATTAAGCAAACGTGCAACCATTCTTGGTACCTATGTGTGGAATGATATCTAGTTTTCTAAAATTACGAGCATAATACGACACTGAACTACATGATTTTGCTTTCTGAATCGGTACTTTGATTTAGTTTTCTGAAACCGAAGTTACCAGGCAGACATAAATTAAAGGAGCCCAAGGTGCATGTGTACATTCTATCAATTTCTTGAGAGAGAGAGAGAGAGAATTGGGTTTAACGTCCACTCGACACAAACTAGATCATTTCGGGACTAATACATGGTTCAATTTTATTTCAATAATTCGCTTGCGCGTAGGGGTCTTTAGCAGTGGGAGGAAACCGGAGGACCCGGAGAAAACCCACGAGGCTGGACAGGCGACCCTACTCCTTGTCACCTCTTAGCTTTAGGTCCAAAATATTGCATCAAAATTCCCAGTTGTCTCAGTTGTACCAAACCGACCTAATTATACCTAATTTATTCTTATAAATGTTACTTACAATTTGTAACCACACATTGGTCTTCATTACTTGATCTTTTTCATTCTGGAAGAAAGGAGGAAATTGCCATTCAATTAATCCAGTGATGTTGACAAGAAAACTATTTATTAACATACTGCCTTACATTTAGGCAGTTTATAAAGATAAATTATGTTTACTTACAAAGTTATACGTGCTCATAAAATTGGTATTGATAAGGTCCAAATGCTTGACCTGTTCTAATATACTGCCATGATCTCGATGTTCAGTTGTTGCTCCATATTGACTGTTGCTCACAATTATTGTTTGTTTGGACAGTATTAAAGAAATGCGGTGGCGCGGGGGTGTGGACAGTATTAAGCAAATGCGGGGGGGGGGGGGAGGGGACATTTCAGGGAGGCATCTGACTGAGACACTGGACTTAATGAATAAAACAGCTAAACGCCGTTGCTTTATAGCACATTTCAACATCGCTATAGAGTGCAGAGTCACTACAGTGGCCCAAAGCAGTCATTAAGGAATAATATGGAGCACTCGGGGAATCTACACATCTGCTTCATATACAATGCAATACTAAAGATGTTTCGGTTGAGAAATTTTTGAGATATGAAATATGATATTTATGGGACTTTACCCAAAATTGATAACTGATGCCACGCTGTTCTTTGCAATGGTAAAGCATATATCCGTTTGGAATGTCGACAGAATTCCTTCAGTAAAAACAGTTGACGTTTCGGTATTTGACTTTGAATAACAAAGTTACTGAATTCCGTTGAAAAACGTAACAGATTAACAGGTTCATTCTGCAGAATGCACACATCTGTCACTGTATGTACATGTAGTACCTTGATTACTGGGGGTTTATATTATTATTATGTTACGATTCAGCAAAAAGTATAAACAAACCACATTAATAATCTGAATAAGGGCTAATGTTATGCATGAGTAAAACATAAAGACATATAATCTTACCACATTAATAATATGACTAAGGGCTAATGTTATGCATGAATGAACAATAAACTTACTACATTAATTATCTAAGGGTTAATGATATGCATGAGCAAGAAGTACAAACTTACAACATCAATGATCTGACTAAGGGCTGATGATCTTAAATGAGAAAAATGTACAAACTTACCACATTAATAATCTGACTAAGAGCTAATGAGAAGTTCACCATTAATGATTGTGAGACGTTTTCTACTGGGCGGATTAATGGATTATAACCGGTCCTTTCAAATAAATTATATACAAGTCGTGCTTCGTTTTCACCTGTAAAATATTGAAAAACATAATTCCATTAAAAAATAATATATTGCAGTTACTTTTGCTTTTTTTTTTAAATACATTTTATTCAGACTGGAATCTGAATGGGGATTGGAGAACAGGCACAGCCTATATTATACCCCTCTCCTTTTTAATCTCCCCTATGTGTTGACCAAAGATTGTAGATGCTTATTTATTGTTGGAAATTAGGTGAGTTGTCTTGTTGCGAACTTTCTATAAACTACCTTTGAATCTATATTGGAGATACGCTGTACCTTATACCATTTATTATTTCATGTCATGTTAGAATGTGTCTTAGCATTTTTGGGGGTCACGGTGGCGAAGTGGGTAAGACGCTGGCTCGCTAGCTTATTTATTGTTGGAAATTAGGTGAGTTGTCTTGTTGCGAACTTGCTGCAAACTACATTTGAATCTATATCGGAGATACGCTGTATGTTATGCTATTTATTATTTCATGTCATGTTGGAATGTGTCTTAAGATTTTTGGGGATCACGGTGGCTAACTGGGTAAGACGCTGGCTCGTTAGCCTGGAGGTCGGGTGTTCTATCTCTGCATTGGCCGAGAAAGTTCATCCAGATTTACCATCGTGGTTCCCCCTTGTCAGTGATGCAGGACGGAGGGCCTGACAAGCACAACTGTCTAGTCGTTCGGATGGTACGAAAAACCGAGGTCCCATGTACACATTGGCGTGCACGTAAAAGATCCCTTGACAGTTGGAATTCGATATAAGAGTTGGCCGTAATGCCGCTGTCCGGGCAAACTTTCCTTCATAGCACACTGTATGGCGTATGCCCGTCTTCATTAGCTAAATTCAGAGTAGACCAGTAGGACGTTAAACCCCATTTCATTTTATTTCTGTCTTAGCATTTTTAACCATTGGTCTGTACGATTTAAAATCAGCGGTATTAAGTGTTCTACAGGGAGCAAATCATACCAGTTATCTTGTATAAATCACTCATCTCTACTCACAGATAAACAAATCCGAGACGCTGAGGTTACCTTGTTAAGGGGGTTAATGGTCAGCAGCAACCCTCCGTTCAGTTTAAATGAAGAACTTCAAATCTATCACATGTTTATACAAATATTACACACGTCCAGTCTATAGTCTCTGTTTCTGCATATTCTATCGAACATGTAAATGATGTTTTTTAAAAAAAACGACACAAGTAGGGATAATTGTAAATTTTACCAAACTAGGACCCGTCGGGACAACGTACGGGGACAGTCACTAGGTTAACCGAATTGCCTCTGTGAAATCCACCCACTCTAATAGTCGGACAAGCATAATTCCACACATTCCTTAAATTACCAGAATTTACTTAGGAATGTCGATTGGAAACCCACTGCGCAGCTTGCATGTTGCTTTGTATATGTAAACATACCGACGATGAAAAACAGTTATCAATATGCCACACTAACTAGTTGATTAAGCAAGATAATTAATACATGAGTAGATATTTATTCAATTTGATCTATCGGGTAAGCGTCTACAAACACAATTCCATGTAGCTGTACAGGCCATCTATGTGTGTATACACACCCACCATAGCAAGGGACCCAAAGGAAATTATCTTCTAGTTGATAGTAATGGGTTCTCTTAATTGGTATACATAATCAATGTAATAGGAATATACTTAAAATTACTTTGTAATAGACTTAAGTGGACTGTATTTACTTAGTTAATCAAATAGATAAATAATAGTTAATCTAGTTACAAGTTAAAAAAATGTGTTCTTTACCAAAAGGAAATAGTTCGTTAAGATAAATATTTTTTAATGCTACTTTCCCATTATATTGGAACAAATTGCTACCAATCGCAGTTAGGTATTTCCATTATTAACTTTTATATTCGCCCACGTACATCAAAAGTACATTCTTTAAGTATACGGTGAAAACCTATAGTTATTTTGTTTTAAATAGATTAATATACTGAAAGAAGTAAAAATGGGGAAAACATCTGTTTTTAAGCCATGAAAATACTTTCTTCATACGATTCTCCTTTGAAACATTAAGTCTTTTAGTCTACCTGACACCTATTAATACTCTAAGTCTTCATGTTCTGAAGGGTAGGTAATTTTCTGCTTATAATGTTTTACACCTTGAACGAGAGGTTTCAATCTATTAACGGAACATTGGTTCCTGGTAATAGGTGGGGCATAAAACTACATTAGAGTATCTAAATAGTAATATATTAGTTTTTATAGACATATAACAGCCAAATAAAATGAAACTAATCAGTCAAAAGCATGGATACTAAATACATGTTTTTCTACAATTTATTGAAATTATTTGCTTATATCTTTATTTGTGGAAATATTAATACTCCCAATTGCTGTTCATACTAGCCATACAGTTCAAAATGGATTCAATAGATTTCAATAACAGTATTTGAAATAGAATAACATATTTCGGAGTTTTAAAATAATTATTGATCATCCAAATAGTTGTTCCTTTGTTCTTCAGCCCATCTAATTATAACCAGTTAATTGGCATGGAGTGGTCATTTGAGATTAATATACGATAATTGTCATTCATATACTAAAATTGTTTGCAGGTTCAAATATAAAGACTTTAACGAATGTAATCTAAACTAAACTATTAACACCCAGAAATGTGCTAATATGGTCTTTGCAACCATATTGTATCATTAACTAAATATTAGAGTCACACTTTGTTTTATATCACGCATTCAAATGTAGTTGACTGGTGGTGATTCAAATACTATCTTGTTCATGACATGTGTTTGGTAATCCAAATAAGGTAATGTCCCCCTCCCTGTCTTTGGGGTATGGGGATGTTCATATTTGGAAAGGTGGTTTTGTCCTTTCCATTGTCAAAGTATCCATCAAATACTATCTTGTTTATGACGTGTTTGGTAATCCAAATAAGGTAATGTCCCCCTCTCTGTCTTTGGGGTATGGGAATTAACGCCAAGGGAATTAACGCCAGGGTCAGGCTATGATGTAAAGAAATTAGGGTGTTATAAAAGAGGATGTTGAGCGAAATTCATTAGAGCTCACCCGGTTTGTCAGAGCAGCCATCAAAAGCTATATACAGGTTACTGAGAACGAGGAACAGTGATGCAAAGCGGTTTTAATAATAAAGTTGTAGAAACGACCTAACTTGTAGTTATATGTACCATCACGATTAAGGAAACACAACAAAGACGTCCGGTATTACTACAAAAGTGGCCCGGTACAGTAAAGGAACTGACATGCTTTCAAATTCACACAATTTGACAAATTAGGAATTTCAGACAAACTAGCTAAAGTAGGAGGAATGAGTACATATTTTCACAAGGTCATTAGAAAGAGAAGGTTGTTGCTGAGTTCGTTAAAATGTTGTGATTAAATACACGACTGTTGTTGAGAGAATATGTCTACCCAACCATTAGACTAAAAACAACTATCGCCAACTTTATCTGTTAATTATAAAGATTGGACAACACGTGGTATCCTAATAAATCAACAACACGCCATTTAAAGTGTCCGAAACCTTTTAATGAATCTTGTCTGCGATATGAACCTAGATGGAAGCGGATGCTAACCCCAAGCTAGTAGTAGTAGTCGTAGATATAATAATAATCATGATATCTACGTATAATAATCTATTGTTATAGTACATTATATCTCTATGAATCAATCTAAATGCAGTAAAGAATTCGATCCAAACAAGCAGTAAACATACACACTAATTAATTAAATTTAATTTAAGATCTGACGTTTCCGTCAAATAATCATATATCAGTTAATAAAGATATAAACCTAAGGCTTGCTAAAGGTGTCAGAATTTACTTTAAATACGTTAACCACAATATAGAAATCGTGTTTGGTTAAAAGAATTTGTTTCTGCCGTCAAAAAATCCAAACTGTTCGTGTGCCAATTAAGATGGGAAAAAATACCACCAACTAAGATTAGTATACACGTGTTATTTTGATAGTGACTATTTAATAGCTACTATATATTAGTCTTCAGATAGTGATAACTAGATTGCGAGTACAAGTTGAAAAACTTAGAGGGCTGAAGGGTATGAAGAGAGCAAATTACTAGTAAACAGGAACGGGCAGAAACTGTATGCTCCTGCAACAATACATTAGACGAACATTTTGCCGCTAGTAGTAGCTGTCGAACTTCTGGTCAGATTAGTTACTCGCACATATTGAATTTTGAAACAACCATTTCGTTCCTAGTAGGTTGTATCATTCCATTGACGTGTGGGTCGCTTTTCTAGTGATTTAATCTCTTGTCACTGATGGAAAGATCGCGTATACGGAAGAGATATAGAATTTTATTTCAGGTTCGAAAAATGAAACTGACTGAACCCCAACATGTCTATTTTGAAGGAAGCACCATCAAGAATACGATAATCTTGAAAGAGAATAATGCTGAATCAGGCATCTAAACTTTGAATTGTCCCACACTAATCCCCATATAACAATTCACTTAACACAATTTTCCAGGACAAGATTGCGGCATGGACTTTAGGAGGTTCAACACTGGTTCCTCTGTCAGCTGGAGGACCTCCGGAAATTATCTGAAATGCTACTTCATTTATGAATGAGTAATATATATTTGGAAATCGATACTGGATATCAGGGGGGGGGGTGGGTGGGTAAAAAACCCCATAAAACAAATAACTTGATTTTGCGTGGGTTCGGAGTATCTTTAGCTAGCAAAATTGTTACCCGGGTCTACAACTTTCTGAAACCTCTGGACACTTTGACTAAAGGCAGGAGATCTACCTGAATGTTTTCGGGTTTACGCCTATTTTGGAGAAATAATTCATAAATGATTTTAACAGATAACTAATAACGTATCGATACTGGTAAGAGTAACTAATCTAACAGGACTTTACATGACGTATCATTTGGATAAGCGGGATCGCTCTTGAATCAATAAATATGCTTGTGATCGCACGGATAATATAATTTAGTAGAAAACATGAGTCTCATTCACACCATCTATTTCTATCGTGTAATCTGAT